AAAAAGCCAATGGAGTCCGCGGTGAAAGAGGGAGCCCAGGACCAACAGGCTGCCTCCATGGCCAGGAGCAGACACCACAGGCCCCGGCTCTGGCTGCCCTCTCCTCCCAATCTCCTCTGTTCCTTCTCCTGCAACGAGGCCACCATGCCCTTTGAAACCTAGAGTAGCTTATAAACGTCCTGGTGGAAACGAAACATAAGACAGGAAGCCAGTGACTGAACCATGGATAATCTCCATGGTTTTAAAAGGAGACAGGAACTGGCAGATGGTGAGGGGTTGGTGATGGAGAGGGTTTATGCTCAGGTAACCCTCAGCCCCCTCCGCAGCAGCCTTCCCTCCCGTCTGTCACTGGAGCCCCAGCAACCGTCTTTCCTGTGCTTCTTACCTCCAAGCTCTATAAAGCAGAGCTCCAGTGCCCAGAGCCAGGGAAGGGTGATAGTTAGGGCTGGGGTCCCTCCCCAGGACCACTGACACACTCATGTAGATGAATGCTACACTTCTGGCGCCCATCCAGAGGCTGTGCAACCCTGCAGAAGTAGTGGGCGGCAGGCAGCACCACCTGATGGACGTCCGCTCGTCTGCAGCCACTGTACGCAGCGCCCGGTGGAACGGGAATTTTTTTAAAAATTTGTTTGTTTGTTTGTTTATTTACTTACTTATTTATTTATCTATCTCGTAGCCACTGTACGCAGCACCCGGCGGAACGGGAATTTTTTTTTTTTAATTTGCCTGTTTATTTATTTATTTATTTGTTTGTTTGTCTGTCTGTCTGTCTGTCCTTTTTGAGACTGGCCGCACCGCGCTCAGCCAGTGAGCGCTGTGAGCGCAACGGTCATCCCTATATAGGATCTGAACCGCGGCGGGAGCGCTGTTGTGCTCCCAGCGCCACACTCTCCCGAGTGCGCCATGGGCTCGGCCCATTTTTTATTTTCTTTTAAAGATGACCGGTAAGGGGATCTTAACTCTTGACTTGGTGTTGTCAGCACCATGCTCACCCAGTGAGCAAACCGGCCATCCCTATATGGGATCCGAACCCGTGGCCTTGGTGTTATCAGCACCGCACTCTCCCGAGTGAGCCACAGGCCGGCCCAGGGAACGGGCATTTTAGAAACAGAATAAGGTCAATGCGCCGGGGTCGATGGCTTTGAGGAGCTCTTCAACCTGGGATGGGGTGAGATCTGCAAGAGGACAGCAGGGATCCAGCCCGTGCATGCACACAAGAAGCCCACCCAGGGCCCCTGCGGTGGGGGAAGGAGAGAGCCACCGGGCAAAGCCACCAGAAAAGGCTTCTAGAAGGATCTGACACATGGAGAGGGGATGAGGAAGAAGAAACAACAAACTCTGGCAACACCAGGAATATGTTTCTAGAATGGAGTCTGGTCCACTCAAAGGCGCAGGAGCAAAGGTTTGTGTGCTGGGGGTGTGTGTAATAAAAACAGCATAATTATGACAAATAACACTAATCTCTTTCATGGAGTGGGAAATCCACCTGGAGAGGTGGGGTCAGCTCCAGCCAGAGCGTGCCAGGACTGTGGGACCCATTGAGGGGTGTTACCTGGTCTATTATTTTGCAAAAATGACTCTGGTGGGGGACTGTCCTGACCCTCAGGGGGTGCTGTCACGGTTGTGGGAGAGATGTGGGTAGAAGAAAGAGGCCTGGGACGTGGACCCCCACTACCTGGTGCTCGGGGATGGGCCAGGGCGGCAGCAGGGCCCAACGTGGGGGCGTGGAAGGGCCGCGGGGAGAGCAGACATCCCCGCAGGTGGGTCCCATTCAGTCACCCTGGAGAAGGGGCTGGGGCATGGCTGGGTCTGGGGCATGCTGCCTCCACCCGTAC